CATAAATCCATCACATAAACTCAAATCATATCAAACTCACTTTATAACTTCAAAGCTCATGCAAATTAATTTCCATATCATTTTGAATTATACATGTATGTGAAATATAGGCTTCATTTTCAACTTAAATAATACAAATGATGATCAACTTCATGAAACTCAACATTATCGTGCTTGCATGTACCAAATAGCCTTCAATTTATCATAAAATGCATGTTTGTACTCAAATATGCAAACTCATGACAATTCTTTACATGCATGTACATACAAACTTCAAAATCATCAAATTCAACTTATTTCATATTCTTGATTACAATTTATCTTTGAGTTCACATAGTTACAACTCAAATTCATGAATTCATGTCTAATTACTCACCTAGAGGCTCCAATCTTCCAATTTCTAACTAGTTCTTGAGCCTAGCCCTCCAAATCTTGAATTCTCTAGCAAAAATCTACAAGGATGGCTTCTCTCTCTCTCTCTAAACCGGCCCTCTCTTTCTCTAGAATGTGATTTCAGCCAAGATGAGTTCAAAAGAAGGAATTTTAGTGTACATAGGCCTATTTATAGGCTTGCCTAATCAAATTGATTAAGGCTAAGTAATGGTGCTCTAATTTAATCATATTGAATCTAATTATTTTGATCTGAATCAATTTTTAATTAAATTTTACCGTAAATTCTAAAAATCATGCTAAACACAAAAATACAGTCAATTTCACTTTCTGAAGTCTCTGCGACCTTCAATTTAAATTCTATAGTAGAAAATCAAATAGATTTTCCTACAACGAATAGATAAGAATTCAAACACACACATAATCATGTCAGTGGCACTCAAAATCATATTAAGCACATAACCATAATCATAATTAAGATTAATTAACATAACACGGGACAGGATTATCACAACGAGGGTCTATATGAAGGGACCATAAAGTTCTAACAAAGGGACCACGAGGGTCATTCATCAGAAATCTCTGTAATCGAATAATTAAAGGGCCATGATATTGTTTCTCCTAAGCGAGGGCCTGACTAAGGATGCCACAAATATTTTTGCAAAATGGACATTCATTTATTCATATAAAATAGCATTCAAGTAACGAATCAAAATACTTTACAAACGTATCTTTATAGAGATACTACTCATAGTGGGCTTGTACAGATGTTGGGCTTCGGGTGACCACCTACACAAAACACATAGCAAAGATACACATTGAAACACATGTACTAAAAAAACATTATATCTTTATTCGCTTTCCTTAAGTGTGTTTCTAACTTACTCCTTTAATGATGCCTAAACAATGCCCAAGAATGCCTAAAAGAACATGGGAATGAAAATATGCACATGAGAGTGTTTTTCAAAATGGCTGAAAATAGGGTGTTCACTCGAGCGCTCGTTTGGTCGTTCAAGCGGTCTACATGGTCTGCAAAAGTTCTGGATGGTGTTAAAGTGGGCTCGAGCCGTCGCTTGGTCGCTCGAGCCAAGTGTAATGCAAAAATGGGTTCGCTTGAGCGTACACTTGGTCACTCGAGCCAAATGTAAAGTTCTGTAAAAATACTGAGAGTATGTAAAGTGCACTTGAGCGACGAATCATCGCTCAAGCGAAGTGGTCGAATTTTGGAATTTCTAGAACATAATTCAAGTCTCAAAACATGGATTTCTAAGTTCAAAGCATGTATGGTTGGTAGAGACATGTACAAACACTTATAACTCTTGAATACATGATCATTTTCAAATCATAGACCCAAACTCTGTTTCTATCTTCAAAATAAAACCCAAAACTTCACAACTTTGCCATGCATGAGGAGAATTCAACTCTTTCCTTTTCAAAAGGTCTACATATGAAGTGATGAGTAATAAACCATGAAGAACCCTTAAAGATAACAAGTATAAGCACCATGCATGTAAAGATTTTGTGGAAAATCAAGCTTAAAAATGATGAAATATACATGCATGTCCATATTTAATACATTCTTACTAAATTCAAGTTGATTCCATCATTTTCTTTTTAGTTACATGTAAATGATCCTATATACTTCATGAATTCCAACTCTTAGATGAACTATCTACAAAGATTAATGTTGTAGTTCACCTAGAGCTTGAATTTGAAGATTTCTAACTCAATTCTTCAATTCTCATCCTAATCTTCACAAATTGAACTCTTCTCCCTCTAAATTGAAGCTTTCTATCTCTCTAAGATCTCAGCCAAGGATGTGAGGAAATGAACTCAAATAAGCTTATAACACATATATATTGTGATAACCCCGACCTCCGTAATATTATATTCAATTATTTCAATAAGCTTAATTTCATGATTGTATATTTAATTGTGTGATTGTATGCTTAATTTTGCGATTATCTGTTGATACATGGTATATCTATTTGCTTATCGACTTAGAATCAAAAATTGAAAGTCTAAACGCCTTCAGAAACCAAAATTGACTAGCCGAATAAACTAATTAGAATATTTAGAATTATGGCAACTTTAATTAAAATTTGATTCAGATCAAAATAATTAGAATAATTGATTGAAATTAATTAGAATTAAGTGAAATTGATTTGTTCTAAACAAGCTTAATTAACTTTAGTTAATTACACCATATATAAGCCAACTCATCACTTGAACTCGCATAATATACATACATGAGCTGAGATTTGAGAGAAGAGAAGGAGAATCAGCTCTAGAGAGAGAGGGAGAGGAGAATTTGTGGGAGACTTGAAGATTTGAGCTAGGATTTCACTTGAACTTAATTCTAGGTATGATAATCACACTAAATTCTAGTAGATAATCCATAAAGGTACTGAATTCACCAAGATATGAGGCCTCTTGCATGAATTTAGTAAGTATATGCTAGAATCATCATAGTTATGTAAGGTTTGAGCATGATCATGTACATGCATGCATAATTGAGTATGGAATTCATGAAATTTTTACATGCATGGTACTTTTACACCTCAACTTGAAGAATTCTTCATGTTTTCATACTCTTCATGTCATTTGATCATGTTTTGAAAGGAGAGAATTCAAGTTAAGACATATATGGTTCATAACTTACAATTTTAGATCAAATTTGAGAAAATGGTGCATGATTTTGAGTGATTGGTTTCAAATTGAGAGTGTTTTCATGTTACATAATGTTTTTCCATGTTTTTGTACCCAACTTGCGAGCTTTGAGCCTTTGGAAACATGTTTTGAACTTCAAACACAGTTTTGGAAATTTCAGAATTCGACTAGTTCGCTCAAGCGCAGAAGTAGCGCTCGAGCGTAAAAGTTAAGCTCCCAAAAAATTTACAGACAATTGCACAGTGGCTCGAGCCTCGAGCCGCAAAAGTTGCGCTCGAGCGAACCCTATTTTGCATTACTCATGGCTCGAGTGACAAAAAGTTGGCTCAAGCCTAAAAATCAAGCAACCAGTACTTTTACAGAGTTTTGCAGACCGCTCGAGTGACCAAAGTTGCGCTCGAGCGAAGGCCCTGTTTTCAGCAAATTTTGACTAACTCTTTTAAGTGCATACTTGCATACTCATATCATTTCAAGTACTCTTAGGCACCAATTTAACTCATATAATCATGGAATGAATTAGGAACACATAAGAAGAGTTGAATTAAAGTGAAATGGTTATCGAATGGTGCTTCAATTGTATATATGTTCTGTGTTTTGTACAAGTGGATGTCTGAGACCTAGCATCGATAGAACCCACTGTGAGTAGTAACTTTATAACGATATGTTCAAGTGATATTTATTTTCGAAATTGTTATTATTCTTGAAACGTTATGATGATTGATGGAAATGATTTATTGAAATGCTATTTTCCTTAATGAATGAAGTTCTATTTGAAATTGAAATCGTGACATCCTTTAGTGAGGCTCTTGCTTGGGAGAAATTAATATCATCGCACATTGTTTAATAGGCCTTCGCCCTAGGAAAATAATACCGTGGCCCATTGGATTAATTGAAACACAGAAATCTCTGATGTTAGACCCATATGGTCACATTGAACATGGAATATTGATTGACACATCGTGGTCCCATTCAATGACCCTTGTGGTCCATTTGTCATTAAAGCATTGCTACTCTACCAGATGTGCCACGTAAATTGAATGAAATGGCTATTGATATCGAGTTTTGAATAGAATTGGAAATTGATATTTGAAATGTTATCGAACTTCATTCATATAATCTCTTTATTCTATTATTACTCACTGGACCTTAGCTCACTATTTATATGTATATATAGGAGAGCAAACGAAACACCAAGGTTAGCGAAGATTGTCTCGGAGTCACTCCATTGTCAACCTTTTGTAGAGCTTCCAAAAAGGAGCCAGCTTGGACTCGTGTGGAGCCAAGCAAAGTCCACACCCCCTTTTGTTGTGAACTTACGTTTTTGAGATTTTGTTTTGGTGCTTGCATATGGAGTTCTATTTAATTATGACTTATGGAGTTTTGATGTATGGATTTGATTAAACTTCGTAATGTATGCACTCCAAGAATGGTTGTACAATTATCATATGAAATCTTTTCATATAAGCACAGTTCAGTAAATTATTCTTTTCATATTGCTTTTGCTGAGTCCCAAAATTTATATTCAATCGATTTTGTTAATAGAGGCCGTAGGTAATTTAAGATTGCTAGCCGATCATGACGCTAAACCCATAGGGGCGGGTCTGGGTCGTGACATATATAAGGTAGATTAGGTTAGGCTAATTAAGTAGGATTAAATCTAATTAAACAAGCTTAAATCTAATTAATCCTACTCAATTCTACTTAATTAATCTAATTAATTTAATTTGATTCTACTCAATTCTACTTAATTAATCTAATTAATTTAATTTGAATCAAATTTTAATTAAACTTCCCATATGGTTCTAAATATTCCAATTAGCCTATTAAACTTGACAATTTTGATTTCTGAATTCGCTAAGGCTTTCAATTTCTGATTCTAAGTAAATATTCTAACAAATATTCCACAAGCAAACAGATATGCACAAAATTTAAACACATAATTAGCAAATTCTCTCAATGAAATAATATACATGCCAGGGTCGTCACACGGTTGTTATCATTTAGATTAAACTAAGACAAAATCATAAATTCATGATCAAAAACGAGTCAATTAAAATTATAAAGATCAAAATAATATGAGGGCCAAAATATATAGACTATCAATGTAATTATTTATCCCCGGATATATTAACCATGTGTTGCATATACCAGCTGAGAAGGCTGCAAACTGATATTCCCCTCAATTGGGAACTTTGGAGAAGTTTCACATCCATATTGTTCATTTGGATACTGTTTGAAGAATTTTGCAGCTAATATATAGTTGTATCAGCTAGGCTAGTGTAGTTGACCATATACCTTGTAAAATTTGGTTCGGTTGCACCAAATATGCACAAGAGCATCACATAGTTCAGGAAATAGAATGCTGTTTAGTCAAGTTGTTTCGTCCAATCAAAAGGTTCCCAATCTTTGACAAAACTCGCAGCAGCTTGCTTTTGTGTCTCCACTGAATCATGCTTCCTACGACCATACATGTCCTCTTCCGGCAATCGCAGCATCCCCCTTATAACATTGAGTCCAAAGCTGCTTTTGAACTGCTTTTCATCGTCCATAACATGAACAAACCCCTTATTCAATCCAAATTCAACATGGAAGTACGGAAAATCCTTGGGGATTGAACCACGCAACCCCTTTTCACTTGTATCAATGAGCTTCTTTGAATTGTGCTGGCTCCACTCATCTTCAGCTTCATCAATTGCCTGAAGCAAACTCATTTTAGAAACATGTAAATAGCAAAATAATCAAATATAAAAGAATTGTAAGTTAAATTTCATCAACAATGCTTGAGATCCAAAACAATCTTTAGTTTGGTCAGTAGTAGAATCAGGCATATCTTTTTTGTAATCCTTGTTTTTTTTAAGACCAATAGCAAGATTTCACACAGTTTTCCATTGGTGATGACTACTTACTACCAGGCAAAAAAATGTAAGATGATAAAATCAGCCACCACATTGGGTTCAGTACCTAAATGCTCCATACTACAAGTTCACAACTACATTGTAAGATATATATCTATATATATATATAATAAAATAAAATTCAACATACTGGTAGCAAATATATAAGCTCTATAGTAGACAGTACATCGTATCAAATAATAAGGAGAATGCAATATTGAAACCACAGGCAAAATTGGACCAGTGAAAAGCAACAAAATCAAAGTTCTAAATTACAATAAGAGGTCTAACAGAGCTAAGTTGGAGACTTGGCGGCCTTAAAAAGAATGGAAGATCACCCAACCTAGTCAACTTTATGACCTTTCACATAACATTCAACATTTATAAGTATTCATTTTGCCAACAAAGGGTCAAAAAGAAGTAAAAGAGTATATTAATAGTTTACATCATACGAATAATTGCCTCAGAAATCTAATTGAGGGGATTGGGCTGGGCGGATTTTCAGCTAATCTACACATCTTTATGCTGCTCATCAACTTCGCAGCATAAAAAGACCCACTCAAATCAAAGGATACAACTGACAAGCCATGTGGGGCTTAAGAAAATTGATACTAGAATATGTTAATACCTAGAACACTGAAATCAGTTTTTCCATGCCAGCAGTCCATGTTCTAAAGTTTCAAAGAATATTCAGAAGCTCAAAGTCCATAATCCAAAGAATTTGTGTCATTGCAACAAATAGTATGATATAAAAAGTAATATACAAAAAAAATTGCATAACATAGTTTTATGTACTTTTTTTAGCACTTGGTTTTCTTCTGAAAAAATGATTTCAATTTTCTTCTTTGCACTTGCTTCACAAGTGCTACTGATTATGCCACTGAGACAACACTGTTGGGTATATGTAGAGAGACTGCCCCAATACAACACACAATGATATTTGAATTAAAATCCAATTGTTTTTATATCATTATATTGACATGGTCCATGGATCCACTTTGAAGTAATCACAAAGATTGAATAGAACAAGCTCTAACAGCTTGTTCTCTCTCACTTGTAAGCTAGTGTCATGTTGAAACTTAAACAGTGTAACACATGAAGGTATTTTCAAGCAACATTGTCCTACTAGCATAAAAAAAATAAAAATAAAATAAAAGATAAAAAAACATACAACTAATTAGTAAATTCTATTTCAATGTTGAAAGGCTAAGTTAAAAAACCCAGCAGCTAATTCCAGAGCAGATATATCCTGCTTGTGCAGAGGGAACTTTTTTTTGATCATAGGGAACTTGATTACATAAACTCTATGGGGCCGCCCATTACACTAATGTCATCTCATTCTTTGATTTTTAGAAAATCACAAGGGTTTATTAAAAATGAAACAGAAAGAGGGGGTGGGGAAGGGGAATTGTCAGCCCATTAAAAGGCGACACTTGCAAGAAAAGTGATTCAATATCAATATGCAATCTGAATATTAGCAAATAAAATTGAAAATGAAAGTAGAAAACCAAACCTTCTTAAAATAGAGAGGTGCCTGTTTTGCTATGTCTTGGGGCAAAGGAATGCACTCGACCATACAATGACGCCTTTGCTGCGCCAATCCCATCACAGTTTCAAGGAACACTACATCCTTCACTTGCTTTGCAAACATCATGATAAGGCATTTCTTGAAGTTCCGAATTTCATCCCACACATTATTGTCAACAGCCCTTGTGGCTGACTCATGCTGTTTACGCATAAAAACAATGATTAGAATAAAAATCATAATGACGAAATTAACAATAAGAACAATGAAGAAAGAGATGGTGACTGGACTTCCCATGAGAATGAAATAAGTGATTGAACATAAAGCAACCACTTTGAGTCCAAAACAATAACAAGAGAGGTTGGGACTGGACATCCTATGAGAATGAAATAAGTCTATCTATTGCTTCTATGCACAACCTATTTAAGTCAATTTTCTCCCACAAGCAGTTAAACAGTAGTACTTACTAATATTATAATTAATACATGCCTCTATAGAAATTTATGATTCAACTAGCATTCAATGCCTTATCATTATCACTTATGACAGGCAGAAACCTCCTGACCACGAACGGTGGCTGGAACTAAATGCAGACTATTTTCTACAGTGTCATTTAACAAATGGACCTGTGTAAGAAGCATAGGTACAAACGCGAGACATAGATACGTACGATGCAAAAGGGACAAAGCTGGCATGACAATTTTTAAAAAATAAGGACACAACAAAGCAGGGACATGTCAACAAAAAAAATAGATATTTATATATGCATGAAAATAATAACAATTGCTTTATTTTTACGTTAGAAAAGCATTATATTACATCAAAATAATAAGGAATTATTTTCCACATTGTATATCTTAGAAGATAAGTGCAAACAAAAAACTTTAATAATCTATTTTAGAAAACGTTTTCATAAACAAATTACAAGTGTTAGGCATTAGAATTTTGAGAATTAAAGAGTTGGAAAGCAGTGACTAATAGTCATTACATCCACATTGCTTTGATCTTAATCATTGACTCCCAACTTACTTCTTCAAACTTGCAATGTCTCGTGCATGTGCATAAATCAATGGGCACGTGCATCCCTCAGGTGTCCAAAGCGTGTCCAGGTCTAAAACAAATAACCAGACACGTTTGGACATGCGTCCAACACGTGACAGGAGTGTCCAATGGGTTATAATGTTTGATATAGACACGGAACCTCCTTGTAAGTGTTCATGCTTCTTAATTTTTAACAGCTATAAAATGAAGAATAAATAATAACAAGACAGATATCCTAACTTCTAAGTGATGAATTAATGATCATCCATAGCTTCAACGCAATCGCAAGTTGTTTCAGTAACATGAAAAGAGAAGACATAATATACAAAGTTAACAAACTAATACTAACCTGCGAGGTTAAAATGCAGCAATGGCCTGGCACAATGGACTGCCAGTGTGGTAAACTGAGGTAGGTGAAATTGGCTATAGCAACCACAAGATGTCTTGGCCTGCTGGGGTTCTCAAAACAGAATTGGCAACGCTCTTGCTGAGTCAAGATTTGCTGGGGAAAATTAGTCTTCTCAGTTAACTTATTATCTTTGGCCCCTTTCTTTCGAGTCTTTCTCCTTGGACCATCATCAAAATCATATTCATCATCTGCCCGACCAGATATACTGTCCTGTTTATTTTGTGCTATCTTTTGGGCAAGGTGCATGTCAGCATCATCTTCTTTCTTTCTTTTCCGAATAGATGTGTCATGTGTGCCATATCTGAAAAATTAAATTCAGCATAAATTATTTTCTAATGACAATATAAGAGGCAGCATCTTACTCTCAATGGTAAAACCTGAACTGAATAAATAATTGTGAGACAAAAAATTACTTTCTTTTGTTGCTCTCATTTTGTGCTTCACCGGATTCATCCACAATACCTTGCTTCGCTTTAATGTTCTCCACTTCTTTCTGGTAACAACAAATAAAAACACAATTCGAATTAATAATCAAAGAGAAATCCCAATCCTATTGTAACTGGTCCACCAAACACATCACCCCTTACAATGTTTAAGTTCAAAAAAAATTGCTCAAATATAATGCAACAAGGTTCCAAATTGCCAAACCCCCAATACCAATCAAAATGAAAGGAAAAAAAAAAAAACACAAGCACAAACACAAACACAAACACAAACACAATACAATACAATAAATATGTTTTACACAAGAGGGTCTAGAATGTAATTTCAAATACATGCATCTACAGAAACAAAAGGTGCAATGGCTGGCATTGCATTTTGTGACTTTCTGCCATTTTTAGAAAATGATCACCAACCCATATAAACCCATACACTACACAATTTACTAAACTCAGCCTAACATCCGTTTTTCTCATTAACCAAAAAATACCAATATCTCTGCTTCAAGTTTTTGTGTGATCAAATTACTAAAAGCTTATTATTTCAAATTATGATTAAGATATAAGCCTATCCTCATATCACAATTAAAGCAAGGTTGTTAAACTCAAGATATTTCATCTGATAGTGATGCTTGCTCCATGATCAAGTAGGAGGCTGAAACTGGGGATAACAATATTCTACAGCCAAAAAGAGAACAACAATACAATGATTGTGAAGATTGGAAAAGGACATTATTTAATAGTCAAATGCATCATGTAATTAAGTTTTCAAGGAATATATTGAAACCCTAGCCACATCAGTTGGCCTAATTCCAACCTCGATGTCAGATGCACCAACCCACACAAAACACATAAAAATAGAAAATAAAACCCTTGAGGTGCCATGGGACAACCTCTGGATATCAAAAGCTGCAATCATATGAAAATACAATTTTACACTAATAAAGCAAAGGATGCAGCTCAATGAGTAAAGGACTCCCATTATGAGTAATGTGTTAATTAACTGTTGTGTACAAGAAAATCAGCAATCAAATCCACTTCTTAGTCTTTGCTTCAATTTGAAAATAATTGAGTACAACCTGGAAAACAAACCAGTTAATAACTTAATATTGACAATCAATCACATGAGTAAAGAAACCAACATGCCTATTGCTTCTTATAATTTTTATCAAGTCCATGTCATATGCCCTAATCTCCCCCTAAAAAAGATTAATAATATATAGATTCCGAAAACATAACAGAAAAAAACAAACACACAAAACATGCACGCGCACGCACACACAGAGACTATGAAGTAGAAATAGTAAGGAGAAGTGTTTGTCTCACCAAAAGTTTTTCAGCTTCTTCATGCTTTCCTTTCAAACAAAGTTGCAAAGCTTTTGCGGCCAACTGGTTAGCACTCATTCCCTGATTAACAACTGCACTAGATTCACCAGGTTTCTGATTTCTCTCACAATTATATGGAGAACCACCGCGTTCATCATTCTGCTGACGAATAACTTCGCTCATAAAGTTGCCATCGTTTGCAAACTTATTTAAGCTTGCCATTGCAGTAGAGATAAGATCAGAATCTTTATTAGATGACATGATTTGACTTTTCCGCTTGCCCCAAGATAAAGAATCATGAAGCTTAGGCACTTTCATCTCTGAATGGCGACGATCCCTTAGCCTTTCTCGGCCAATATTCTGATAAAAAATTATAACATGCAAGTTAAAAGGAAGCACATATCTTTACTTTCATTTCAAGTTCAGAATTAGACAGGAAATAAATAATATATATATTTAAACACAGGAAAACACATTTGAAAAATTCATCCCCAAGATGTAGATCACACTATCTTAAACGAAATGATTCACATATTGGCCAACATAAATGGTAAATTTTAACAACAATACCGTTGGCAATAGCTAAGTACCTTTTCAGTTGTTTGTTGTTCCTCACTTAGCCCCTTCTTTCTATTTTTTATGGCATGGAGGTGAGCCCGTGACGGAGCAGCTGTACGAGATGCCACAGAAACTGCCAGCTGAGCTAGGGATCCCCACCGCTCTCCAACAACCTATACAATTTTAGTGCATCACATCAAAATGATAAAGATAGAAGATAAGATACACTACCTTACATCAAAAAAGCACAAGATAATTACCTCCACAAGGGCCATTCCTTCACGAGCTGCCTGCTCCTGAGCTCGCTTCAAGGCTTTCAGTCTCCAACTTGCACCTCCATCTCCAACAACAGCAGAAGACAGAAGTTGGTTCTGTCCGGCCTTTGTCCCATCAGCTTCTTCTGGATAACCAGTTCCATTATTCTTAAAATATGGATTCAATTCTATGGGATTTTCTTTCATCTGACAAAAAAAGAAAAATATATATATTTATGTAAAAACTACTGCCTAAATGCATACATAACAACATAAAGAAAAGAGACAGAGACCAAACACTCATTACTTAGTTTATGTATAAATAATTTACTTTCTCCACAGAAAAACCACCTATAATAACTATTGAAATTAGTTTTTCCAAGAACTAAAATAAAATAAGAAAAAACTAAAATACTTCAAATTCCTGAAAAATGGGACATAGAAATGTAACATGTATTTGCCAATGATGGATCTAGGGGGCTAGGGGGCCGCGGCACCCTCAAAAATTTGAAAAATATCATATATTATATTAAAAATTTTAAAATAACTTCGCACCCTCAAATTTTTTGTAAATAATTTCAAAATTATATAGGGTAGCTCTCAATTTTTAAAATTTCTGAACTATAGAGTATCCCAAAAACATAATCCTGGATCCATCCTGCTATTTGGCCAAATACATCACCAGCATGGGCAAGAATAGACAAGTAACGTATCAATTAAAGTTATTAATCAACAACAATCCAATCCTTTCTCCTTAAACACATATTAACAATATAATGCCAATGCTGATTACGTCTCATCTGCCGAACTTGGTTCTAGTCCCCCCAAAAACAAAAAACAAAAATGATAAACATTCTAGTCATTGAAATTTTACTAAAACTGCGCTTCTTAGAGAGAAACGTTGTGTAAGAATCGCGTTTCTATTGAGAGAGAATCGCGTTTCTGTTGAGAGAGAAGCGAAGAAAAGAAAAACCTGATCTGGTCTTACGATTAGGGCTACGAAAGTGGAGCTTCTTCTTCCATGCATTTGCTTCGCAGGCTCTTTTATCTTCATCTTCTTCGATTGTTGAAAGCAAAATCCTCTCTCTCTCTCTCTCTCTCTCAATCGCTGCCAGTGCCAGACCTCCCTCTCTGTCTCCCTCTTTTATCTTAGTTAGTAATAAGAGATTGATGAAAAGTCTAACACTTAAATTTACCTAATTAATTTTATATGCAACCATTAATGTATTAATTTTATATAACTAATATTACACGTACTAATTAATATATTAATTAATGTATTAATGAATGTTGTAGTCCAATTTTATAGGTTTTGAATATTTATAATTTGTATAATAGGTAAAATCAGTAATAATGTCATAACACTAATTAATACATTCATTGATATACTAATTAGTGCATGTAGCCAGTGGCGAACCCAAAAATTAAATCAGGGAGGGCACTTATTAATTATAACATTGAAAATATTTACAAAAATATTTCACATAAATTTTTCGATTGACTTTAAGAAAGATAAAAATAAAAAAATAATCAACGTGTTTGATTTGAGTTTTTTAAATTAAGTTTTTTAAAAATTGAATTTTTTTATTTTTCGTTTTTATTTTTTGTTTTTAGTGAATATTTTTAAAATTTAAAGTTTTTTTTTTACTTTTTTAGATGCATCTTGTTTAGACATATCTAAAAAATAAAATATTTTAAAAAATTAATAAATACATAAAAATACGGAAAATGTACTTATTTTTTGTATTTTTGATATTTAGTGAATTTTTAAAAAAAAAAATTGCAAAAAATATACTTTTAAAATGTATTTATGTTAGGTGTGTCTAAAAATTAAAAAAATTGTTTAAAAAGTAAAAATAGGCTTATCAAGAAGGCTCGTATGGCGGAGCTAAAAAATTAACTTAGAGGGATACTTATTAATTATAATTTTTTATTTTAAAAAAAAAATCATGATCAATATTAAGATAATAATAATTTTATGAGCTAAATTTAAGTATACGAAATTAAAAATCATTATTAACAAGAACAAATCAAAATTTTATAATAGTGTATAATAGCTCGATACGGGATGGTAATGTAAATTTATAATTTTAGCACAAAAAATTATGGATCAAAATTCTTAATTTTAAAAAATAAAAACACATCATTTATAACATAAATTATTATAAAATCTATTTAATTTTTATTTGACAGAAAATATTAAAGAGATGATAGTGCTTATAAATGATGGGGGTGTTTGGGAAGTAGCTTTTTTTTTTTGGGTTAAAATAGCATTAAAAGACAAAATAGGTTAAAATAGTCACTAAGACAAAATGTCACATCAAATCCATAATCATTTCACTTTTTCTCATAAACATCACATCCAACTACAAAAAATCCAACTATCTTCTCATACACAAAAATTTTAACCTCCTAAAATAGTTAAAAACTAAAATAGCCTATTAAAATAGCAACTTCCCAAACATCCACGATGTGTTTTGAATAGAAATTATTACATAGTCTTAGAGTATTATATGGGGTTGCCTATGTGATGCTCAAGGCACGCAAAATTACAAATCATACTATGTAGTTTGTCAGCTACCTAAAAATAATGAGTTAATTATATTCAATCCATAAGATTTTCCACTACACTATTAGTTTAGACTACTATATAAATAATACCACATAATGCTCTTAAAGTATCAAATAACTACTTATCGTGAATAATACAATAAATTCTTACCCAAAGAAAATGTTAAGGGAAAAAAAATATATTTTACATATGACCACAAAACAAAACGCGTGGCCCTGGGCCTTCTTTGACTCTACCCGTGCTCATTTGAATTTCAAATTGTATTATTATGGTTTAAAACTCCTGTATTTGTGCTTTTATTTCAGCTGTAAGAAAGATCTTTTATTGTTTCAGAAGTAATAACTACTGATGACTACTATAAAGACTAAAAAGTGCTCGTCTACTTGGGATGTGCTACTGCTTCTGCATGGCAAGATGGGAAATTATGTAGTCCCAAAAATCTATGTAATATTGTTTAAGTTGTACTCTCAACAAATAAAGGATCACTAAACGTATTATCTTTTATCTTTTTAACTAGTCAATAAAGATAGATCAACATCGATGCACACATAAAGTTTTTAGTCACATTATTGGTTTGGTTTGAAGCGTGTCTCAGGACAATCCAGACTATCTGAATAGTTTTTAGGTATGTGGCAAGGCATCGCTAACAAAATTGTTAGATGCATTCAAACAAACCTGCCAATTTAACTAGCTGTGTACCTTGTAATAAACTGAGGTTTGGTAGATTAATTAATACAAAGGTATAAACATTTTGCAAAAGCCTTCGGAGATTTGTCTTCTGATTAAAACAGCTTACACTCAACTCTGTTTGCTTTTGTTACCTGCAAGTGTTGCTTCTAAACATCAGTTTTAAAATTGTTAAGCCCATCATTAATGATTATTTGTGGGTTAATTAATATAGAAGGCAGAAAGAAGAAGATGAGGAAGTTTTGCTTTTGGGTAATGCTAGAGACACCAAATTTTCTACCAAACAAATGACTAAATATCTCATATGGGTGTGGGGTCCGCAATTTTGTAGGCCCCACACCCATGTGAGACATTTGGTCATTTATTTGGTAGAAAATTTGAGACCTCTAGCATTTTCCTTTACTTTTCCCTTCTCTCCAACTGGACCAGCAAGTAACTTTTTTAGTGACTTCCAATTTTTTGACTAAATATAGTGTAATAAAAACAATGTGCAAAACAAAAACTTAATTTTTTATGGAAAAAACATGAAGAAAAAAAAAAGTAAAATACTACCTAAAAATAATGAGTTAATTATATTCAATCCATAAGATTTTCCACTACACTATTAGTTTAGACTACTATATAAATAATACCACATAATGCTCTTAAAGTATCAAATAACTACTTATCGTGAATAATACAATAAATTCTTACCCAAAGAAAATGTTAAGGGAAAAAAAATATATTTTACATATGACCACAAAACAAAACGCGTGGCCCTGGGCCTTCTTTGACTCTACCCGTGCTCATTTGAATTTCAAATTGTATTATTATGGTTTAAAACTCCTGTATTTGTGCTTTTATTTCAGCTGTAAGAAAGATCTTTTATTGTTTCAGAAGTAATAACTACTGATGACTACTATAAAGACTAAAAAGTGCTCGTCTACTTGGGATGTGCTACTGCTTCTGCATGGCAAGATGGGAAATTATGTAGTCCCAAAAATCTATGTAATATTGTTTAAGTTGTACTCTCAACAAATAAAGGATCACTAAACGTATTATCTTTTATCTTTTTAACTAGTCAATAAAGATAGATCAACATCGATGCACACATAAAGTTTTTAGTCACATTATTGGTTTGGTTTGAAGCGTGTCTCAGGACAATCCAGACTATCTGAATAGTTTTTAGGTATGTGGCAAGGCATCGCTAACAAAATTGTTAGATGCATTCAAACAAACCTGCCAATTTAACTAGCTGTGTACCTTGTAATAAACTGAGGTTTGGTAGATTAATTAATACAAAGGTATAAACATTTTGCAAAAGCCTTCGGAGATTTGTCTTCTGATTAAAACAGCTTACACTCAACTCTGTTTTGCTTTTGTTACCTGCAACTGTTGCTTCTAAACATCAATTTTAAAATTGTTAAGCCCATCATTAATGATTGTTTGTGGGTTAATTAATATAGAAGGCAGAACGGAAAGGATGAGGAAGTTTTGCTTTTCCCTTCTCTCCAACTGGACCAGCAAGTAACTTTTTTTAGTGACTTTCAATTTTTTGACTAAATATAGTGTAATAAAAACAATGTGCAAAACAAAAACTTAATTTTTTATGGAAAAAACATGAAGAAAAAAAAGAGTAAAATAAAATAAAATAATTTTTTCACTTTTTTTGTAGGAGTAGAAAACATTTTGATTTTTTGCCTTTCTTTTTTTTTTAACTTTTTGGCAGAAATAGTCGCTTTCCAAACAGACCTAGGTCATTTTGTAACACTAGATAATCATTTTTCTGGCTTCTCAAATCAGTCATGTCACACAAAATGAATATTCCTCTTTTGCTGCAAACTTCCACTAATTTGTTCTACATATTCAACCAGTTAGATCATGCATTCTAATGCATTTTACAATAGTTAGAAACGCACAGAGAAGGACAAAAAAAACACAGAAATTCCAAATAATGATCTCGTGAACAAGGTTCAGGTATAGCAATAGCACTGAACCAACCAGTTGCATGGTCTTATGGTTAAAACTTTTCAAACTTCGGAGCTTGAATATTCTGACAAACAGTTTATTTAGGTAATAGTGGATTGTAACAAAGCCAGAGTGCAATACAAACAAAATAACAGCAGTCACAATTTACTTGAAATGATTGTGTGGTTCTGCTAGTACCCTAATCACATACTAATAAAATGCTTAATTTCACATCAATGACAACTTGTTTTCTGTAGGGAAGCAGGCCCAACAATGGAAAAGAAAAAGGGCAGCACCAAGTTACTGAGGTGCAGGTTCATCCTTCTTCTGCCCACCCAAGTACCTGTCATTCATTAAGAAGGTGAGAGGCACTATTATTAAACATTCCTTGGAAAGTATCATATCAAATGTATTATACAACGAGGATAGGGCTGTTCAATGGATAGGTTTGCCCCCAAAAGGGCAACTAATTGCTCGACACAGAAAAGAAAAGTCCAATAGGAAAATCACTTGAAGAAAATTTTTCAACCCAATATGACAGCGCACAACATCCAAGAGCTTGCAAAGGGTTCATGCACATTAGTTCAAACATACTTGTGCCTACATGCTTTTGAGTGGTTACTTCTGAGGGTAAAGCATTACAAGTCAACCAAGCATTACGAATGTTCAATTCCTCCAGAGTATGTAAAGAAAGGGAAAAAATACATATATTATCCTGCAAGAGATCTTTCTTAACATCTAGCGTGTTGGTACTAGATAGAAATGATAACTCCAACAATTTCTTTGTTCTCAATGCCTCCTAATTTCTAGAAACAAGTCACTGCTACAACCTGCGATAGTTATATGGGCATCCAAAAAACGAACGAGATGCAAGCATGTTTATTGTCCCAACCATTCTTGTTAATCCAAAATCTGCTATGAAAGGGGGTAATTTATAATATAACAAATTTTCATGATGTTGATTCCTAGGTGCAGTGCTTCCTCTATGCTTCCTATTGGTACTAGTGGAGTAGGAGTGACCTATAATCTAGGTGTAACCTTTCGCTTAATACTATAATTGACAATTGAAGTTTGAGAGGGTTATGGATGTTCCTTCTATTCCTTTATTTCCTTCTCATAAAAAAAATCTAGAAAGTGGCGGTCCCTTATAAAGTGAAGTTCTTTATACGGTCCTTAGGTCACAGGGGTGTCATGACCAATGATATCCTCCAAAGAAGAAGGCCCAATCATTCTCTTGATCCTCAATGGTGTATTTTGTGTAAAAGAGATGCGGAATCAGCGGATCCTTTGTTCCTACATTGCTCGGTGGCTATTGCACTATGGCAGCATCTCTTTGGTCTTTGTGATGAGTTGTGGGTTGCTCCGAGGGTGTGAACACATTTGTTGTTGATTTCCTATGGAGGATTTGGGAGCAATAAGAAGGCCAAAGCTTTGTGGTCATGCATTATTTTTGCTATTTTTTGGACCATTTGGTTGGAAAGGAATAATAGGATCTTTAACGAAAAGGAATCTGAGGTTGAAGCTATGTGGGATAGAGTGAGGCATCTTGCATCAGTTTGGGCTTGTGTTAGGGATTGGGTGGCTGTTTGTCACTCCTAGTAGTGGATTGTCATATGTTTAGCCGTCACTTCCTTGATTTTTAGTTTTGATTTCTTGCTTTTGTATCAGTACTTCTTGTCCTCCACTTGTTTTCATCTTTTATCTCAATAAAATTGTTTTGTTGCTCTTCCAAAAAAAAAAAAAGAATTGACTATTGAAGTATAGATCTGAGGCTGCATTAATCAAGAATACAACAGAAGGAATTGTTTTATATCCAAACTTCACCTTCAACAAGCATAGATTTATTTCAAAAAATTTCTTTTATAGCACGAAGCATGTGTCTTTCTCATAAGACTGAAATCATTAAAAACAATCAAATTGCACTATCATGTGTCTTTCTTTACATACTGAGGGTTAAGCATTACAAGTTAATCAAGCATTATTGTAATGTTTTACCCTCAAATGTTGAAAAAATAAATAAACAAGACAAGGATTGAAGCAATAGAAATATATCATCTGATAAGTTTTTTTTTGTTTTTTTGTTTTTTTTTAAATTAGAAGAAAAAGAACAGGAAGAAGAAACTGCTAAAACATGTCCTTTTTAGATTTTTCTATAATTTATTGAGAAAACTTGGATAATTCGTTTATATTTTTACTTATGTTTAGTTTCTTTAATCATAAGAAAGCCCTCTCCTGAATCAAATAACTCTTCACTCCAGTCGATCAAGACAGGTAGAGCAAAACAACTTGGGTTAGAGTATCAGAGAGTATTTGTGCTTCCACATTCAGCAATCAACCTAGTTGCCCAACTGACCCATCAGCGGGCACAATTTTTAATTAGTCCGATAAGGTTGTATGCACACAAATTTGCTTTTACTGCAACAGCACCATATTGTGGCAGGCATTTCATATAAAAGTGAGGCCCAGTTTGGCCTTGATGAGGGATAGATAGGCCATGACTTTCAATCCATATTACCACTACTAAACCAAAAAATAGGCAAAGATTGAATTACTCACCCATTACCCTTTGCCCAGCGAGAGAGTTGATAGAGCTGCACTGTCTCATTCGAGGCATGGCATGCTAGAAGTAGATAATTGCGAGGCTGTACCATCCATGCAAACCTCATGAATAATAGAGAATATACACACATTGCTGCAGCACCATATCAAGCTTTAATTAGAATCTCAACCGTATTATTTATTCAAACAACTATACATTGTTTTCAAACCAGATTTTTTTTTAACCTCCAGTCATGTTGCCTGAGATCATTTCAGGGGGTTTCTTCATGTCCACCAGCCCCTGTGAAATTTACCAATTATAAATGAGCCATAAAGCCAACCCAACCAGAAATTTATATGATATGCAGTAAATGATCATGCAACAAGTGAGCATACAGCAATTACGAATCCCCAGTTAGCAACAGGACCCCAGAAATGAGTTGTTTTAGGGCCAACTGGACTGTTCAAGAATGCTCGGAACGAAGCCATGTAGGACCAACTGCTATGCAAAATATCTCTGCAACGATTGTAATAGCAGAGTCAGATATTAAAGTCAAAGAAAGTAATATGTCAAATGTAGTAAAAAGCTTTATAATAAACAAACTTAAGAATACATGTGAAAGAAACTACATTGATGAATTTTAATCCTGCAAAAAAAAAAAGAAAGGGTATGTTGGAGGGTTGGGGGCACAATCAAAACTGACACAGATGCCTTTGTTAGGAAGGTTTATGTAACATACAGACAACTTCATTTATAAAAGAAATCAAGAATTTGCACCATTGAGATGTTCTGAGGGAACTTTTAACAAATTGAGATACACAAAGCAGCAGAATGATTAAAGAACTGAACATATGATTTGATAATTTGATATAGATTTTCGGGTAAATTACACTCACCTCTCTTGAGTTTTAGAGAAAATACAGTTAGCCCCACATTTTTGATATTACACTGATCTCCCTTTCAATAAGGCTAGAGTAACTGAAACTAATGCAGATGATGGATAGACATTGAAATAAACAAAGACAAATATATATTTCCATAGAAAAGAGATATGATGATATAAATTTTTTTTTCATTCATACAACTAACGGAAAACTGATAAAAAGGGTCTAATTGTTAAGTAAATTAAAAACCTCAAGGGAGACTAGTGTAATCATGTCCAAAGTACGGGGCTAACTATATTTTTTCCAAACCTCAAGGGACATGACATGAGTGTAATTTACCCTAGATTTTATAATGAATAGGTTGGTAATTTTGTTTGGACCCATTCTGTGAAGTGCCAAAAATGCATAGACGAAGTATTTGAGAAGAATAATTTTGGGTAATGCTACACTTATCACATACTTTTTAAGCTATTGCAGTAAAAACTAATCGAACCACTAAATCACATTGGAAGTATAGAACTTCCTACAAACTCCAGTGGCTATGCATTTAGGAAATTTCAAAAGAGCTTAGCACATTAAGTAAAGTCAAACAAACCCATCTTTGTGCTAATTAGACTTCTCATGCCCTCCCCACCCTATACAGCTCTCTATAGTTATACAGTGCTTCAGCTTGATCTAGTAAATCATCCAAATATAGTTTCCAATTTTCACAGTTAAAACATCAAATATGTTGTGCATCCTTGTATAAGAAAAACAATACCAAAAAAGCAATCAAAATAGACCTCAAGACATGCACCAAGAAACCCAGTTTCAGGATATGAAGCTACGTCAATATTACCCCAGCAACGATCACAAGTTCTTCTCTCTCTCTCTCTCTCTCTCTCTCTCTCTCTTCCACATTATTATAAACTCATACTTCAAAGAGAATAGAGAAAGCAGTTCAAGAGAGAGAGAGAGTTGACATGATACAGCCAAGAGTAATAAGGCGCAATTCAAACACTATGTTCAAGTAAATGTCAACTTAAAAGAAACATACTAAGAAGCCAAAAAAAAAGAAAAGAGAAAGGAGAGGGTATGATGTTCATCCCTTCCGTTAAAGATCCTGCAACTTTCAACACCCTGTCATTCTGAACTTCCAACCATCGACCTCCGAGAACGGTATGATATGACATTCAACAAACACATGTATGTATAAATGCATACTAGAAACTGGATCTGATGTTGATGTTATTTTTACTCATTTGCTATTGTTTCTATTCAAATAAACTTGAGATTGGATCAATGGATTTCATCAAATGCACAATTAATTTCTCTTATATGAACTATACATACATACATATGGCATGACGAAGGTCATGTCAACAATCTCACTTGATTTATCTTTTTTTTTATTGAAAACTTTCAGTGATTGCTTTGGTGTTTGATAAAATTGAAATTGAAAAACTAAAAATTAAATATTGAAAGGTTGTGGTGGTGTAGAGGTAGTGGCGGTCTGTGTTACATGGACTCGCCGGTTTTCGCCGGAGTACCTATGTCGACACGAGAAGACACGGATACAGATGGTGACTCAAGTCGGACACAGCATCCTTGTGACAAACGCAGGCCACGGCTGACCACATATGACCGCCGATGAAGACGAAGACTAAGATAAAGAAGACAATGAAGAAGAAGAAGAAACAAAGGTTTCATGAAAATGTATTTAGCCCAAAAGATGATCCAACATAGGAAAAAAAATATGCCTTCGCTTTGTAAATTGTTTTTGTATTACTATTGTTAACTAAATCTTTTGTATAGTAGTGTAATTATCCTTTTAAACTCATCATATGTTTTTAAAATGTATATAAATAAATGTATTCGTATACCCATGTCCAACATTTTATCAATGCCCCCATATCCTAAAATCAGAAAAAAAAATGGAGAATCCGACTCTTAAGAGATGTATCCATGTCTGACACTTTTACTGAGTTCGTGTAACATAGGAGGTGGCAATGATGGTAGAGGTGCAGGGTTGTGGTAGTGTTAGTCGTAGCGGTGACAATAGCGGTGACTTGGTGGTAGTAAAATGTTGGTGGTACTTGTGGCAACAATGGCAATGGTAGTAGAATCGGTGATTGTCGTGGTGAAGGTGGAGGTGGAGGTGGCTGTGGTCATGGTGGGGATGATATCGATGTACGTTGATACTTACAAATTTCAATGTCTAAACATGATTATCCCTACAAATTTCTAATGTATGGGTTTCGTATAATGTGTCATGAGAAGGAGAAAAGCAATCTATGGAGTGAAAACCTTAGTTACACAAAGCGGAAGCAGGAGTGAGAGCATGGCCACTTAGAAGAATCGTAATTTGGAAGGGCTTTTATATTATTTTTATTAAAAATATTTTTAATTTACCTATATAATTTTTTATTTTAATTGAAATATATACATATATATATATATGTTATAAATGAGTTCAAAATTTTAAAATTTTATATAATATTTAATTAATTAAATACAACATAAAAAATATTTTTTATAAATGAATAGTAGATAAAAATTCATTCTAAATATAAAATCAAAATAAATTAATAATTCAAATATTACAAGAACATTTAAATTCATTATCTTCAATGCTATCATCAAAATAGTTGTTTATAAAAAAAAAAATAGGCCATTATCATTGAAACTTCAAATTATAGAGACCAAAAAATTAATTAAGTGATATTATTGAAACTTCAAAACAAAGAGACCAATAAAAATAATAGAGTTATATTCTTGAATTTGTAACCAATAAAAGTAGTGGAGTAAAAGTAATAAAAGTAGTAGAGTAAAAGTAATGGACTGATAGTCATTATCTCCAAATAAAATATTACTATAATAAATGATCCTGACACCTCACCGACCAAGAGAGAGAGAGAGAGAGAGAGAGAGAGAGAGAAGAGAGAGAAGAGAGAAAAAGATGGAGAGATAGCAAAGAGCGAAACCACCAAAGGGAGGAGAAGAAGAAGAAGAAGATCGAAAGCCAGAGCCGAGAGAGAGAGAGAGAGAGAGAAGAAGGAGAAGAAAAAGAAGACACAGATTCTTGCACGAGAGATCGAGAGAAGTCAAGAGATATTGAGCTTCATTCTTGGACTAATTCACATTTCTATCTCATCAAAAACACGATTCTAGCACGATTCTTCTTCAGAAGCACAAAATCATGATTTTCACTCAGGTGCATCTTCATGTTACACGATTCCTGCTACTAAGGTGAAGACTAATTTAATATTGAGGCTTGACTAGTGCATAGTGACTATCTTGATATCCTAAATTTCCGACAAAACTGACTCTTCTTCTTTTTTTTGGCTTTTTAATTATCTTTTTTTTCTATGAATCTTTGAATTATAAGTTTATAACTTAACAAAAAACAAAAAACCAAGAAAACAAAAGAAAAGAAGATCAATTCAGGTTATCTTGTGATTGTTGTTGCCGCAATATTGACATAACTTCATGTTCTAAACCTGGTTTCTTGGGGATGTCTAAAGGTTTCTGGTGTTGTTTTTGATATAAGGATGCACAACATATTGCTTAGGTGCCTAAGCAAATAACAAATTAATTATTGTTTCATCTCCATGTATCTAGTATTCTCTTGTGAAATGATATGGATCAACAGATTTTAGCTTGAATCAACACACCAAAAACCAAAAGAAAGAAAGAAAAAGAAGATTCATAGACTAGGAAGAAGATATATTATTGTGCTTCTTTTTTTTTTTCCTTTTTGGTCAACAAAGAAGAAGGTATATTAGATAGGAAAAAGAAATTACAAAAAGTTCCATAAGCTATGGAAGAAAAACAAAGACCCTTTAAAAATACCCCAGCAAAATACCACCCTATCAAAATCAAAATCATCGAAAGAAAACACTACTCATCTTTAATGGCACCTAGTAAAATCCTTTCAGATTCTAACACCTTTGTAAGAAATTAGACCATAGAAATCTTGACATAACAAATCCTCCCCTATATCAAAAAAATTCTTTCTCAAAACACAGCTTCAACCTCTTCACCCATTCTAAGTGAAATAGAAAATCATTGCTAGAATAGTTTTCACTATAAGAAATTATACATATTCAAAATCTTTGGCATGGCCCCATGCCATTTCATCGCAATCTTTATGTGAATCCATTTCTTTATCTATCTATTCTACTATATAAAGCACACAACCCACCTGGTATGAACTTTATCACATAATTTTGATTTCCAAAAAACCGCAGAAAAATCTATGTTTCTCCTAAATATTTACATTTGATTAACCGTTATTGTAAGGGCAAAAAAGTACTCAACAGACTCTCTCTTCATTCTCACTCACCCATCCATGATCTCTTTCATTGCGACAAATAGTGTGCCGAGTCTTCTAGTTATATTTATATAGAGCTCCAAAAAGGGACAAACCATAGGAAAGAGCTAACCATAAAGATAATATGGCTGACAGAACAAGGCAATTTTACATAAATTTGCAATCAAAAGAAACCCTCCTTTCCGTTTGCCATGCATTATACGCAAGGATGGATGTAGGGGGTGCCGATAGAGGCGACCGCACATCCAAAAATTTGAAAAATATCATATATTAAACTAAAAAATTTTAAATAATTAAAAATTAAAATTGCAGCCCTAAACATGTTTGATAATCCTGAATCCTCCCTCATTATACCCTGTTCCTCACAATCCAATCTGATTCATAGTACATACAAATTCATACATATATATATATATATATAAAAAAACACACACACATACAGTTTCCAATACATAAGCCCTTCCTCCACTCCCTACCCTACCACCGAAACCCTCCTCTCCTCCTCCTCCTCCTCCTCAACTGTAGATCTGTCACTCCATCCCCGAACCTATCACAATCCCACCAAACACTTTACGACCGAAAAGCCCCTCCTCCAACAGATCTACCACACCCTCTGCGCCACAGCTCCGGTACCTGCCCTACCACAGATCATCCACCATCGAAAGCCCCCCTTGAGACCATTCAACAACCCAAAAAGAGTAAAAGAGAGAGGGCTATAGATATACACAGAATCCATGCCTGTTTGAGGGAGAGTCAGCGCAGCGCAGCGCAGCGAGCCAGAGCGAGAGCGAGAGCGAGAGCGAGATAGATACACACCGTCTGACGCTCCGTTTGGATGGTGAGAAAAGAAAACAATAAAGAAATGATTGTCACTTGAATGTATACTAGTGGGTGGCACGATGTGTGTGCAATTTAAATAAATAGGAATAATAAAAAATAATAATGAAATTAATATTAAAATGTGTACTTAGCTTAAGTGGTACGAGTCCTCGTACTTAAAGCCATGGTCGCCACATGGCATGAGGAGAGTAAAGTTTCAGGACACCATAAGAGGTGTTCACTTTATAATAGTATAGATAATAATGGCGGTTTATAATAATGGCGATTTGTTTTCATATCTCTAATTTGTCATTCATTTTTTAGATCGGTAAATTAGAAAAAATTAATTCGTATTTGTTTGTCAATTCGATAGATATAAATTGAGCGAATTGACGGTTTGGCGGATGGATGCGAATCGATTTAGCGGTTTAAAATTTTATAAATTTTCAATATAATTCAACTTGTGTACTTCTTCAAAAAAAAAAAAGAGTATTACAGTCAATGACTTAAAAAAATATTACAATCACTGCATTCATCATCCACATAAAGTATTACAATCTGTGATTCTTAAAATATAAAAATAATTCAAACTACCAAAATCATAAACAGAGCAGTAGTAGAGATTATATGTCTCTGTATTGTTACATCTATATCTGTTTTTGAAAACAAAAACCAACTACCATATATCATATTTTCTATTTATTATTTTTAGAGATAGATTTAAAAATCAAAAAATATAAATAAATAATATGTTTGTTTTTTTCAATTCAAAAAAGATATTAAAGTTGAAATTTTTTTTTCAACAGAACATTTAAACTCTTTTTTAATTGAATCCACAGAATATTTAAACAAATTGAAAACACAAAGTCTTATAAATTATTAGGGGTGCTCGCGGTTTGACGGTTCGGTTGTGGCCAAAGAAATCTCAAATCCGCCATCCGTCTGCCAGATTGGCGGATTGGAGAAAATCAATCCACAACCGTCCGCTCGTCATCACGCATCGGTCCAAAATGAGGCGAATCGGTTCGGTTCGATCGGTTTTTGGCGGATCGGTATATTCGCTGCTCACCCCTAGTTAGACTGACACTATTCATAGTTAGGGTGGAGGAATTGAAAAATTATTTTTATATAAAATAATAAAAATATATTAAATATTAATGTTTAAAAAAATGTCTAACATGGAATAAATAAAAGTTATATTTTTACTTAATAAAAAATATAAAAATTTAAATATTATTGTTAAAAAAAAATGCTCAATGTGTAAAAAATAATTATAAAAAAAAAAGTTCGGCAGACTATTTTTTAATATCAAGTCTCAAGTTTCCATCCTAATCTCTTTCTCAAGGCTCATCCTAATCCAGGGGAGATTATGAATCCCTTTTTTATTTCCCAAAACAAACATAATATTAGTAGATCTCACCTTCATTTCAATCTCAATCCCCCCTCTATCTCCCAAAATAAACGAGGCTTAAGGGTAAATTACACTTTTTCCTTTATGATTAGCCATTTTTGTTTTGACTCTTAAAATGAATTTCAAAATTAACTTTTTAGAGAAAGAAAAAAAAAAATTTGTTTTCTATTTTTTTTTGTTTTGTTTTTATTAATATTTTAAATATCTTTTTAAATTTTTACACACACGTAATATAAATATATTTAAAAGGTATAATATTTATGAAATTTTTTTAAAAAAATCACTAAATATCAAAAATATTTAAAAAATACGAAATTTAGTATATTTTTCATATTTTTGTATATTTATTAATTTTTTAAAATATATTTTCACAAATATTTTATTTTTTAGATACATCTAAGTAAGGTGCATCTAAAAAAAATAAAATAAAATAAAAAATTGGTTAAAATTTTAAAAATATTCGCTAAAAATAAAAATAAAAAACAAAAAACAAAAAACAAAAAACTCAATTTTCAGAAAATTGAATTCAGAAAATTGAAATCAAACACACTAATTTTTTTTTTCACTTTAATCTTTTATATTTTAAGTTTTTTTTAAAGTTTTTTTAAAAAATTAATTTTTATTTAAAATTAGACAAAAAAAATATCATAAAACTATCACATAATATAAAAAATATATTATTATATTGAGATTTAAATTTATGTCAAAAGTGTGAGTTACATATAATAAAATATTTTTAAATCATATGACAGTTAATATATCATTTTCTATCTAATTTTTAACAGAAATTAATTTTAAAAGAAAATTAAGAAAAACTTAAAATATGAAAGGCAAAGTGAAAAAAAAAAAACAAACAAACAAACAACCAAAAAAAACAAACAAACAAACAGACAGACTTTAAGAACCAAAATAAGAAAGTGCTTAAACATAAAAGGGGTGAAAGTGCTTAAACAAAAAGGGGTTGAATTGTAATTTAATCCTATAATAAACTAGCACTTGCATTAAAGTAAGTAATAAATAAAAATAAAATAAAATTTTTATTATATGTGGTATGTTATGCAAGTGATAAGAGTCTTATTTATTAACCGTAAGATTCAACGTTTGAATCCTACTCTTGCCAACTACCTAATTTTACTAGCTTACATAAGTGATTCTACAAAAATGCGTAACCTGAACACAAATTCATGTAAATAAATGAATGAATATCGAATTGATGAATGATTTCTGATAAGAAGTGCATGGCGTGCGATTTTTAAATGAGGAAAATCTACATTTTTGGCATGGCATATCACGTGCATTACACTTTCTGACCTTGTTAAGTGTTGTCACGGCCCGATATTTATAGCCTATTTTATAATTACCAAACCATAATTATTATCCAATTTCATAACAAATACATATCTTTTTCACAAAGTCCTCATAGGATTACATACATTATGCTACAATGGGCGTGTTTGGCAACTTAGGTTTAGGCTATTTTTTGGCTAAAATCCACAAAAAGGCAAAATAGAATAAAACAGCTAATAAAACAAAATGTCACATCAAATCCATGATCATTTCATTTTTTCTCTCACAAACATCACATCTAATTACAAAAAAATCTAATTATCTTCCCAAATACAAAAATTTTAGCCTACTAAAATAGCTAAAACCTAAAACAACCTACTAAAATAAAAACTTCCCAAACACTCACAATACATGTAAAACAAAGAGAGAAATACATCAAAAGTGCCCCAAGGGCTTACATCTTTTAAAGCTAAGGACTTGATTTCAAGCAAGACAAAGTCCTATTCCGAACAAACAAGCGCAGTAGCTATCAACCTGTAATCATCAAAGGGAGCTCCTATGCCCCAATAAGATCTCCACAACTCTTCGATAGGAAGATAACATGTCATCAGCTGTAACGCCCCACTACTTGCTGGCCCAAGTAACTTGTGGATCGACTAACAATACCCAAAGGCTTAAGTCCAAGTTATTTAGTAGCAAGGTAGTGGTGCTTTATATGCCCAAGATCACCCATGCAAACTTTCAATGTGGGACAGGGTGTAACAAACTCCCCCACTTATATATCCTCGCGTCCTCGCGAGGGTTTATAATCAATCAGAATACCACGATAAGCTCGTGGCCAGTCCAGAATAAGTGACCCACATAGTTGTGTGCATGGGTTAGCTCTGATACCGTTTGTAGCGCCCCACTACTTGCTGGCCCAAATAACTTGTGGGCCGACTAACAATACCCAAAAGCTTAAGTCCAAGTTATTCAGTAGCAAGGTAGTGGTGCTTTATATGCCCAAAATCACCCATGCAAACTTCCGATGTGGGACAGGGTGTTACAAACTCCCCCACTTATAAATCCTCGCGTCCTCGCGAGGGTCTATAATCAATCAGAATACCACGACAAGCTCGTGGCCAGCCCAGAATAAGTGGCCCACATGGTTGTGTGCATGGGTCGGCTCTGATACCATTTGTAACGCCCCACTACTTGCTGGCCCAAATAACTTGTGGGTCAA